TGAGTACCTCTGACGACGAGGATTCCAGCTGGGGCGAAGATGACCATGCTGGTTCGGATGACGACGAAGATGACGAGGTTGATTCCCAGTCTTCGTTCAGATCCAATGCAGAACAGTCCCATGAAGATGAGGTGTCTGTGAGATCGAGCAACCTTCATGTCCTGGGGATTCGCGACTTGATAGCATCAGAGGCGAGCTATGCTGTGGAGGAAACAAATGCCCGCTTGCCATCTGGAAATGATACTTCCAGGCCCGAATTTAACGATCGACATGGGGAGGATATGGCATGTGACGCTGAGACGTGTGAGCCGGAGTTGCTCGCCGTTAGAAATTCCACATCAGATCTGCGTTCTCAGAGCCCTGGCCCTTCCAGAATGATTTCGACCGAAGCTCCACCGCCGCCAATCTTATTGCAGCCAACTCTATCATCTCCATACGGAAAGACAGTCGATCGTTCGCTACCTAGTTACCAGAATAACCTTCCAATGATGCACATGGACTGGTGGAATCCACGAACCACTGCAAACACTTCATACTCCCTGCATATCCCCCCAACTCCGCAAGTGCCTTACGCTGACGGACCCTTTGTCAACAACGAGTCGTTCCTGCTTGGTGAGACTGATCCTGCTTGTAACCGTGGTAATGATCCAGTCATTGCGTCTATGGCTACCCCTGGAATTATAAGCCAGGAAGCAGCTTCGAGCGACGGACAAGAAATCCAGGAGACACCCATGCCTCAGAAACAGCCAGATGCCATTCCAACACCATTGCCACAGATGCAAAGGTCCGAGACAAGATTAGATAGCGTTCCCGCAAACAAGCCACTGAAAAGGAAGGCGGAGGAGATTGATGGCCCGTTTGGGAGTTCCGAGCTAGACGTTGCTACTTATCATCGAGACGGGGTTGACTCAGCTGTGACAAGCGATAGCCAATTGTCTGACCAAGAGACTTGCTATCCGGATGCTCAGCCACAGATGCCAACGGACCAACAGGAAATTCCATCCCAGTTGGCAGACTTAGACAGTGCGAACGAGCTGCCGTCAGTTGACGACCCCATTAATGATGCCGAGACGACCGCACCTCCTACAAAGCGAGCAAAGACTTCTAGTACGGGGAGGTTTGCCAGCCATGCTGCAAGTGCTGCTTTGGGTGTAGCCATCGGTGCTTTCGGTACTATCGCTGCGTTGGCGTCGCTCCCCCCAGATTACTTTCAGTAAAGAACAGGAGTTGTCCCGGAATTGGCCATTCGCTTTGGAAACTATGCGCTTCTGTTATGAAACACGGTGCTTATGAACCACACCGAGTACGTGGTGCTATCGGCGTTCTCTTCTCATACCTTTCCGGATTGGGATATGGCGGGTGCTGCTTCTCTGTCTCATTTCTTTTTCTTTCTATCTATCTTTCTTTCACTTTTCCTATGTTTAGTATTTGGGCGTGTTTCTCGCTGTTTTCTTATCTTCCTGCTCTAATGGGCTTCTTCAGAACCGAGGTACAACCAGCCAGCCCCCGCAAACCTGGATGTAATTATTGTTCTAGCAAATAATACAGCCAGTTCTTCCGATGGCACACTAGTCGGTGTTGTTCCGGGGTGGATGAGACGGGCCAATGTAACCACGGCCGCAAGGCAGGCTCTTCTCGCTCTCATGATCGGTGGGCCGGCTTTTAGTTATGACCGGGGGGTCATACTGGTTCTTTCTGCTGAGCAGAGCCCATTGGCCCATTGGCTTGGTGACCGCCATGAAGTCGACCATGACCACCACGTCGGCGCCTCTATCAAGGCTTCTCGTTCGTTACTTTCTCCTTCTCTGCCTCTCTCTTTCCGTCTCTGCATTTTCCTCTTGATCCTGATCTGCCGTAGAGGAGCTGCCACCGCTTCTTCTTCCCCACCTTCCCTCCCCTCCTTTACTTCCCCTCATTGTCGGGGTCGTCGTGCACCCAGAGTAGAACTTATCATTGAAGGGCAATAACTAGGTTGAAGGTGTCCAACCGTTCGGCCGGCCAAGTTGCCGTACGTCACTCTTTCTTCCTCCTCCCAGCTTTGCTTTTCTCTGTACGACAAACGGTGCCCCAGCAGCAGTTCCACTCCGTCAAGCGCGCGAGTCGCATCCAATTTCCCTCGGTAGTGTCCCTGTCCCGTGGCCTTGCCTTGAGTTCAAGGTTGGAACTCCTTCGCCTACCCTGCTTTTGCTTTTTCTCCTTCCAGGGATCTCTATACCGGCCAGCACTTTTCCTGTGAGTCGGGCAGGTTAACAATGGCCACGATTATGTGCCCTAATTAAATTTCCAAGCTGGGTCCTCAGTCGTGCGCGTGATGCCTGCCGGATACCTGCAGCTCACCGACCATTGATCTGACTGAGACCCGACTTTGCCGTCCTCCACTCCTACCTTACCTGTAAGCCACCCACCCTTGCATCTTTTCTTCTTTCTGGTTTTCATTTCGTTTCTTTTCTTTGTCCACAAGTCTCTTCTGTTTTCCTGGCTGTGGGATCCACCCGTGACCGAGACGGAAATGGACCACATGGATGGCATTGTCTCTGGGTTTCTTAGCCATCGTTCGCCTCGGTCTAGGATCCCCGACTAAGGGCAGATTGGTCCCTTTAATGATCACTAGGGCTCAAGTAGGTGTTCCGTACTCCGTACCTGCGGCAGGAGCATCAAAGTCAAGCAAGTTTCCCGCCATGAACTGCGTGAGTTCCAACCGCAGTTCGAATCCCATAATATGGACAGGGATTCTTATAACATGTGACCAATCCGCAGACGCAGGCCACTCAAAGAACCTCCAGGATCTTCGGCCATTGGTCCAGGCAAGAAAATTTCCTTTGCCTTTTAATGAGGACGACGCAAGATTAATGCCCCAAAAGCCGAGCAATCATCGCTGCACTGCGGTTGCGATGGAATCGCCATCTCCCTTTTCTTTCCCCCCTTGAGAAGTGAGAACCGGATACCTGCAGAAATCGGGAATGGACTGCCACTTGCGAGGCGCGGAAATTACGGCCTGCAAAATTCACTATCTGATCGTCCAGTAATTTGCTATTCTCATTTGTTCCCTCTCCCCGTGATTATTCCTTCTCATTTTAATTTTATATTTTATTTTATTCTATTTTTCTATCTATTTATTTTCTTTTTCTTTCGAGGGCGCTTGTCCGCGTGTCCTCGTGCCCCTGCGGTTTCATGGCTCCCGTCACACTGTGCCCATTGTTCACAGGCACGCATGAATAAACCTCCCCTTCCCTCACTCTTCGCGGGTTTGACTCGCTATTTCTTCTTTGCCTTCCTCAGTCTCCATATGCCCTATACTTCAGGGGATAAGAAGACAGCTTTTAGCGCATGGGCAGTGGCGCTGCCGCTAAATTGGCCTAAACGCCGCACGACCGTTGCTCCATCGCTTGCGGGCACATTGGAAGGCCCACGGAGTATTCCGCCTAGAGTATAAGCTGAGGCGTAGCTTACAGGGCCACAGAGTTAGGCAGAAAGTGTCAAGACTATCCGAAGCCTATTCATGTGCCATGAAATGATTGGGTGGACAGCCCGACTGAGACGCAGCTTCGTGCATGGAACACCCTACGACTATACCAACATATAGGGAGAAGCCCAGGGTGAACTCAAGGCATACGGTATTGACGAACGTCGATGACTCTGTATGGCTGCTAGTCCAGTGTCACTATGACCACAACACATCGCTGGAACAAAATTCCGCGTTATCAGGATATGTTGCCAGCCATGATCGTGTAAGTGCGTGTCGCACTGCGCTTATCCGTTATGGGAGGTCAGCGAAAGGCTTAAAGGGCCACGTCGCATTGAAAGCAGTTGACCTGGGATGCTTGCCGAGCTTAGCGATTCTTGTTAGTCGCGTAACACAATTCTCCGTGGCTGCCATGCTTCTGGGTCTTGTATCCCGCCGTATAACATTTCCGGCTTCTGCTTGGTCACATACTCGAGCCTGAACCGACGTCTGTATTTTCGACTAAGCGCACCATGCAGCCGTAATCACCTATTCGGTCGCCCAATCAATGATAATCGAGATCCATCATTGTCCGATACGCTTGGGCAAGTCGTGCATCTAGGCACCTGGTCTGGTTGGCAACGGCCGGCACAACGCCCATAAACTGGACCCGGCCCTATGGATCAGGTTTGCAGAAAAGGCTCCACTGGGGCGCGGAGTCTTTCCTTAAAGGAATCGGAGGTGTTGACACGCCCGACAGGCACATTCTGCATCTCCTCAGGTGGCCTGGGGCTGTCTCTGCGGCCCTTTCATGATCCTGGGACCATGCCGCACCGTCCGGTCTCATGTTATTGGTGCGGCATATCGAAAATAAAAAATCTCTGGATGTGACTGAGTCTTCGTGCCTTGATTTTTGCTCGGAAGATGAAATCTTGACAGATAATTTGACGTTGCTGATACGAAGTGGCCTTGACTCGAGAGCTGGTAGCACACATCGATGACCGAATGAGTCTTACAGTTCCCGTCCCCCGCGAGCTTGCCCTTGGCACTAAGCAGGGAGCGGGATGATTTGACTGAAGCAATTCGCCTTTGCTTTTTTCTTTCTCATTACCTTCCTATCCGGGAATCTTCGCCGATTCTATGTCTCATCTTGATGATTGATAAGCCCCGTGGCCCCCCTACAAATACTGTGTTTGGTCATGGGAAGTAGCATATCCGACTCTTGATTCTTTCTCTCTGTCCGATCAAAGTATCAACCCTCTCTAAGGTTGTGGAACCAGTTTCTGAGCATAGCCTATTCTTGGACTACATATTACCATCTCGGCCTCGTTCCCGAAGATATGTCTCATCAAGCCGGACTAATGTATCAACGAGACCCGGGGCATACCTCCTGCATTGGGGGGCGGACAGTGGTGACATGCCGAAGCTGTGCGGGAAACGCACCACGGTCAGTCGACGCATCCAATCATTCTTGGATCGTGTTGCCAATGCTAACCGGGATCAGAAACTCCGTTTGTAGTAGCTGCAACGGCCGTGGGTTTAACGTCTTCATATGTCCTCACTGCAATCCGGCCGCTGCGGCGGCAGCGTTCAAGGGCTCTGCTGGATCATCACAAGGCACCACACCGAATTCATCTGTCCCTGCTTCGCCGTCGTCTCTGAGCAGGAGCTCGTCCACCTTATCCTCTGATACCAGGCCTATTGGGAACGGAAGGCGGTCGGGGGACAGCGACGAGAGCTCTTCAGGCGGACACGTCGGAGCAGGGACTAATTCACCACGGACGGTATAGAGGATTCTTAGGGACGTCGGAAAAAGGGCGCTGGTCGCCCGTGTGCCCAGTTGGCTTTCGGACACTCATTTGACTGCTTCCATGTGTTGCGCTATCGTACCCTTTTGATATATGAAGGACCATAAGGACGGGTCTGCGGAGGTTTCTTTTTTGGCGAAGTGCAGGCGCATCAGGACATAGAGGAAAGCATGGCCTTCCATGCAGGAAATCTGTTGAGGATTTTGAATTGCGCACCATGTCACGATAGTCCATCGTCGTCGCACTTCGTTTCGATGTACTTACTGTTTCACGCCAGATACCAATAGGGAAATGAATTGCCAGATGCTTGGATGGAGTGACGTCAGCTCCCGGGGTGAGTTTTCCCGAGCTTCTCTCCATGTTGGATTCAGGACCATTGGTTTGCCTCGGATGCGAAGAAGTGCAAGGGTCATTTCATTCGCCCCCGCCACTCCCCTCTTGAATAATCTAAGGAACCATTTTCGCTACGTCTCTGTCACTCCCATCCCCGGATATCCCGACCTCCACCCATCCCACGGCATATCCGACAGCCGGCAATGAGAGTCTGGAGTTTGGGGCAAGACGCGAGGACGATCACTCCACCTCAGGTTCCGAATGCTGTTTCCCCCAAAAACCTATATGTAGGGACCATGACTGCCCCTGAACTCAAAATCTGCTTGTCCTTTCCTTACTCATTAAGTAACGCTCTGATTTTCCTACAACATGGCCTTGTCTTTCACTGAAAAGCCCCCGCAGGGGAGGGTTCCTTATGCGATCCCGCAATTGGAGGGTGAACGCATCACGATTCCGGGGAGCAAAGGAGCCTTTCGTATCCTGGCTTCCTCTAAGCAGACCAATGGCCTCATGGCTGTCTTTCAGAGCGGGGCTGTCCTTTCAGACGCCCCGGGCTTTCACTATCACAACCACGCCCACGATGTCTTCCTGGTGACCAAAGGCTTCTTGAAATTATGGAATGGAGACAAATGTCGGATAATGGGGCCTGGAGATTTCGCTTATGTCCCTCCTGTATGTCAGATGCTATTTGCTATGCTGCACTTCCTGTCCTTCCTTTCTTCGCCCACGACTGACTCTCCAATGTCTACTACAGACTGTGGTTCATAACCCGGAACTACTGGGACCACATACCGAGACCTACGGCGTCGTCACTCCCGGCGACTGGGTCGACTTCTTCCGCTATGTGTCCGAGCCTTATGAGGGTATTCTGGTTCCCGAGAACGATGATCGCGACCTCAAGGCTCTGTTAATACCCAAAGTGATGGCTGCGAAGCAGGACTTTGACGTCGTGTTCCAACCACACTACCAACCTCCTGCACTAGGGGAGTGGAGTGCAGAAGAGGAGAAGCTCCCCGAGTCGTCACAACCATACTTTCTGCGCGCCAACACGGGCCCCAAATGGATGCTGGGAGGTGTCATGTCCCGACCGTTTATCACCACCCGCCAGAGTCAGGGTGTTTGCGCTATTTCCAGCATTGAATCCTCTAAGACCTACGGCGAAACTCTACTTTCTAAATTCTTGACCTTCCAGTCGGTTGATCACTGTTTATGTGTTCAGGAGGGGACATTGACCGTCCAGCTGAAGGATGGCCCCGAGTCAACTTTCCGCGAAGGAGAGACAGTTGTGATCCCGGCCGGTCAGGCGTTCGCTCTAAGATTTGCCAGTCGGTATGTGCGGGTCTGGTCATTTACCGACGGCGATGGCATTGAGACTTTGATCCATCGGTTGGGCACACCATTCGAAGGTGCTGTCCTACCTGACCAAGTGCCGGAGTGGAACCCGGCGGAGGTTGGGTCTGTGGCGTCCGAGTTGAATGTGACCATTGAACTCTAGAGGGGAGAGAAGGGGGAAGGGGGGAAGGGTGGATGACGTGGATGCATGAACTTAGCGTGGCTCAATTGAGCCTTGTGACGACTATTGGAACTGGGACTATTAGCGATACCTGTCATGCTCTACCTTATTTGTATTAGTTAGTTAGAAAAGTGGAAAGGAATCGTATCCATTTCATTTAATTTATTTTTTTTTCTTCTGCACCCCGCGGGGACCCCGCAGAGGGTTCCCACGTGATGCTCACGGTCGGAAATCCCGGCCGAATCTCTCTTTCCAACTTCATCCTTTTTGCGATTAACTTCGGCCTCTACTACGATTGACTACTTTCCCCTTATCTTCAATTTGCCTCCACTCTTGTCCTTATAGTTCGTTTTGGATACATACCCCAGTTTTCCCTATGTCGTCTACCTTCGTCTAGATGGATGATGGATGAGTCGCCCCCCATTCACACCGCGGGTGATGATTCTCTTCCCCCGCCGCGGGCCAAACGCCCTCGCGCTGCACAAGCATGCGACCGCTGCAGGGCCAAGAAGTACAAGTGCGACGAGCAGTATCCCTGCGCGCACTGTAAAAGTAGGCCGTCTATCGCGATAAGCTGTCTTAACCTGAACTAACCTCCTTTCTAGAAAGCCAACTCAATTGCGTCTATCAGGGGAATTACCGTCAACGCGAAAGCAGCAGGTCTGCGCGGTATGTATATTATAATTCGTCTATATAGTAACTAGCTAGTTCGTGTCTTGGTATTTGCTGACACACCAGACAGATATGTCGCTGATCTAGAGCGCAAAGTAGACGAGCTTACGGCTCGACTAAGGTTGGCAGAGGCGGACGTTACGTCCCAACACTCCTCACGGTCCCAGAAGGTAGTAGTACAACCAAGCTCGGGACCCAAGCAAGCTCCTCCCCCAGTGGGCGTTGAGGCGACTCCATTGTCGCTGCCTCGCACTGCATCCACGCCGAGAGAAGATGCGCCTTTCATTTACGAGCACCATGACGAAGCTGGGGAGTCGGTAGGGGATGAAATCAGCGAACTGAACCACCACACCAACGGTATCGAATTTCACGGCAGCACTTCTTCAACGGCTCTCCTCGGTCATCTCCAAAAGGCACGGGAGCCGCAACGCTCCTTGGAGCGTCGGGACGCACGTCTCGAGGATCCGGGATATTCGATCGTCTCGACGCTGCATAATTCCAGCTTTTCACCCTCGGGTACGGGCTCTGCCCAGCCCTTGACCTTACGGGAACAGAATTATTACTTTGAGCAGGCTCATGCATTTATCAACGGCTATTTTGAGAATATTCATTTCATTCATCCTCTTATTGATAAGGAGGACTTTTTGCTTCGGGCGCACAGTCTATGGTTCAATCGTGGCGTTCAGCCGGAGCCGAGTTTTGTTGCCTTGTATCTGAGTATCCTGTCGTTCGGGGCCCTGGTGCGGGTCTGGGATGAGGACAGGCTGGGTGGACTGACCCGGTTTGAGTGGAGCAGGAAGTTGTTTGGGGAAGCTCAGATGTACCTCAACTACCTGCAGTTCTCAAATACTCTGGATACGGTGCAGTGTCTATACCTTATGGTATGAGATCTTTTTTTCTTTGGGCGAAATACGGGCTGACCTTGTCTAGGCTAAAATTTGTCAGAACGAGCTGAATCCGAACTGTAAGTAAACTACTTCGCTACTTACTTTTTGGCTGATAAGCTGACATGGCTTAGTGGCATACATGTACCTGGGACTGGCTATCCGCACATGTCTCGCTGCTGGGTTCAATCGTGAGGTGCGCAGTTCGACAGAGCAACGCTCGGAGTGGATTTCAAAGACGTGGTGGTAAGTTCGTGCCCTGCTTGGATAGAGCTCACGCTAACCCTGACAGGGGACTGTTCTCTTTGGAGATGTAAGTCTTTCTGGACATCCGGTTCAGTCACGATCCTAACCACACCAGTGAAATGAGCTTTTCAGTAGGCCGTCCGGATACTCTAGGCATGGATGAGTACCACAACCGGGCGCTGCCTGAGAGAGACGACTCTGAGTACGCTGTTATCCCATGGATGGTGGATTTCGCATACATCATCCGCAAGGTGTCTGTGCAGATATATCATTCGCGTATCACGTTACAAGAGAAGCTGCATCTCGCACTCCAAATTGAAAATGAGCTAGACCGATGGATGGCGAGACTGCCGGACAGGATCAAACCAGACATTGTTCAACGAGCAACAGGAGGAGCGTTGAGAGATCCGAAATGGGCACGAAGGCAACGCTTAGTGCTCGGTATTCGTAAGCCCCCTCTTGCACGTCCTCATTGTGTTGTTTCAGGCACAGCCACTAAACCTTCCCGACCAGGCTACTACAACGTGAAGATGCTACTGTTCCGACCATTCCTCAGCTACTTCACACGCAAATTACGACATACCCCTATGGAACTAGGAGAAACGATCGCCAAATGCCTCGACGCAGCAATGAAAACCATCCAAGTCATTTACGATATCTACCGAATTCACACATTCTTCCGCTGCTGGTACGCCTGCCTTATACCTCTTCCTGTACCCTCCCTGCCATGCCCCGATTAACCCAAATTTAGGTGGTACAACACCACATATGTCATGTTCGCCACGTCCACCCTCCTCCTCCCCATGTCCAAGCTAGGCATGTGCGCCGAAACCATCCCGCTCCGCCGCTCCGTCGAAATGGCCGTCGAGATCCTCGAAGCAATGGACGAATCCGTGGTGGCGCGTAAATCTGTCGAAATTATCAAACACTATCTGCGAGAATTCCGGCCCATCGATGTTCAATCCGCTACCACACCATCTAGTAGCAATGATGGAACCAAAATTGCCGACTTTACTACTGACTCAGGAGCTGCTGCTGCTGCTGCATCTGCTTCGGGTACTGCCCAGACAGGGTTTGATATTCCGGTATGTTTGTTCAATCTTTCAACTCGCTTCATGTACAAATGAGAAACAGAATTGCTAATACAGGGGGTACAGGAATGGGCATATGGCTTCGGCTTCCCGGATTGTTCCTTCGAAGGGATCGCTAGGCTGTTTGATGACTTGGGAGGGTTGCCGATGTTGGATGGGTGACCATGTATTACTACTATATCTTACTATGTGCTATGCGATTCAATTGGTGGGTATTGGGGACTTCGGGGGGGCTGTATAGTGGGGTTGACTTGTATATAGCTAGTTGGTGGAATTGATAGATGACTTCATGCTCTACTGTAGATATCTAGACCGGCGATAACCTACGGATACTACTGTGCTAAAAGCGTTCAGTTCATGCAATATAAACAAGACGAAAAGTGAACTTCCGTCTTGGTCACTCTGCTTTACTCAACCAATAAAATCGAGACATAATAGTAATTCCACACCCTATAGTATATCTATACCCGACTAAAATACTACTATTCTATAGATGCGAAGCCACTTCCCTCCTCTTACTACTACTACTACCAAACAACCCCGGATTCTGCTCCACCACATTCTCCACCTCCTTAATCGCATCATATCCATAAAGCCACGGTTGTACTTCAGGACACGTCCTACACATAATCGAATTAGCGTCTTCTTACTTTCTTAAACCCCCTAGTTCTACTTCCCAAACCAGAAGAAGAGGGGTTTGGAATAAATAGTACATACCATCGACTCGGAAAAGCCCCCTTGAGTTCCTTCCCCAACTGAGAGAGGAATAACTGGTCTCGTTTCTCTTGTTCGGGACCGTCGTGCATGTGGAAGTCGTTTCTCTGTTTATTACCACATTCCTGGTTAGTATATTTGTGCTGTCCTGGGGGGGTGGGCTTGGGAGTTGTATGTGGATGACTAACCTGCTTGAACGTCTCCCTCACGATAGCTTCACCTCGAGACTTGCGCAGCTTCTCGTATAGACGGAGAATAGCGGGCAGGTCGGATTTGTGTTTCATGTGGCCGAGGAGACCGCCGAGGACGGCGCCGTCTTCGAGGGATGAGTTGGCGCCTTGCGCGAGGTAGGGGAGCATTGGGTGGCAGGCGTCGCCGCTGGAGGGTTGGTTAGTTGGTTAGTTGGTGGGTTGGATTGGGGGAAGGGGGATTAGTCTACGTACATGAAGACGAGGTTGGATTTGTCGTTGATCCAGGATTCCATTTCGGCGTCTGAGTCGATCGAGTTGGTTAGTAAATGACAGGAGGATCGGGTTGTGGAGGTAGTGCACTTACGGTGCATGAGTTTCCATTTGTCAACGCCGTTCACGTAGCCCAGGAAGCGGGTTAAGCTGTACTATATCAGTTTCTTGGGGATCATTGAAGTGTTTTTGGTGGGGGAAGGAAGCAAACGTACACTGGGTCCCAACCCACGAATAAGCGCATCATCTCGTCCAGCGAGCCAGTCTGTCGAGATACTCCCGGGGGTAGATCATCCGGTACCAGGAGCACAATATTCATCATCTTCCCTCCGCGCAGGGAATACCCTACTGCATGTGCCCCGGGTCCGATCCAGAAATGTACCGTCGGATTCTCTACCCAAGCTTTCAGGTCCGGGTCTGAGATCTGGTCTGCCGTTAGGACAATCCGATACGCCAGATCTCCCGTGGGAATGGGGTCGTCTTTTCGCCCGCAGTAGCATTCCCGACAGCGGGACCAGAGTCCATCTGCGGCGACGATTAGATCCCCGGAAACAGTTCTGCCGCTGAGGGTGGTGACGGTAGTAGTGTCGAAGTCAATGGTGTTGACTCTCTCGTCGAGATGGAAGGTCACGCCGAGCTCCTTGGCTCGCGCGTATAGTGCTTGTTGCAGGTCTACGCGGTGCAGGTCGATGAAGGGTGCGGAGTACTTGGAGCGGATATTCCGATTGAATGATTCTTCATGGGCGAGGACTTCGCCTGTGTAGCGGTGCACTGTTAAGGAAGTGGGCTCTGCAGCGTCGGTCCATAGCTTCTCGGGGAGCTTCCAGTGTGAGAACAAGCGGGAAGCATTGGGAGTGATTTGGAGACCAGCGCCAACTTCTGCTAACTCTTTCGCTTGCTCCAGAACTGTAACG